TTAACCCTTTGAAGTTAAACATGACGGAAGTTTCCAGTAGTGAAATAAAAAATTATGTACCGAAATGCAGTGACAAACAATCATTTCTTACTGATTTTCGAAGTGTTCCGAGACCGGTGAGATTTCCAGATGTGTCCAGATGGGCTTGGCTCTAAGATATATGAGAGGAGTCAAATGTTTTGTAATTGTAGCCCTTTAGTTTATGTTATATTCTTTTCCTTATGTGTAGCTCGTCTGTCCTTATGTTCTGAAGAGCTGGACACAACCATGAGTAACTTTTCGAGTTTCGTATGGATTAGCTGGATGTTACATCTCTTTACTCCTTCGCCTAGTTTTTTCATCTGTTTTTCGGTCTGTGTAGTTTCCTTTTTAGTCTGGTAGCTGTACGTTCAAGAAAAGTCGGATGCTTTTCTCCCATGAATGTGGTGGCTGCACAGTTAAGAATTTCTTGAAGATAACTCTCAGCATCTTAAGTTTCGCGAGGTCGTTGTCGCAAAGGACCCTCCTGGATGCTAAGGAAAGATGGGATTCAAATAACGTATGGTCCCAGACGTAAACACGAATTGAAACCATTTACCAGGCTTGTCTGCTGTTCCTGTCCTTTGAGCTGTCTCAGCTGGTTCTCGCGGCACCAAGTAGTCAAGGTACCCTCCGTAAACGTTCATCGTGGGTTGGTTCTCGCTGGACAGCTGATTTCAGTGCCTCATGCCATTGCAGTAGCGAAGATACCATGGAACGTTGCAATCATGTAGATTCAGTGTCGTCTGAACTAAGTTCCCACGTCCTTTCAGCGGTCAGAGGGAAAGGTGCCTGTCAGCTTAGTAAAGTATTGAGCACTTACCAATGTTACCATGTGCGTCAGGAACCACTGTCTTCGTGGACACCGTTGTAGCGAATATTAAATTGATACTTGGACAGCTCGGTTAGCGTCCGTTAATTGATATACATCGGGTCATTACTTTAGTGATGGTTATTACGTAGATGCAAAAGATGTAAGATGAGTCAATAGAGCGCAGCGTAGCCAAGGATTACGACACCTGAGCAGCTTCGTCTCAAGACGACCACACTACATGGTCACTTATAGTCCACTTTCAATCCGCTATCCGCCACCAGAGAACACAAAACATGGCCTTGTAATCAAGTGACTCAAAATTGCTTGCATAGGGGAAATCTGTAGCACTTGTCTGTAGGTTGCTCTAGTGCTACCCGTGAAAACTGCCGTATATACGTAGTCAATTCTATGTACATTTCTATAAATGTACATGCTTTTTGTCTACGCAGAATGTGTCCTCCTCGTCTACAGAGCCAAAATCGTGCAGTCAAGTGAATGCGTGATATAGAAAGTAGTTTTGAGTCGCTTCTAACGAATATGTCCCGTCTACATCCAAAGAACCAGTCAAGCTGTTCTTCGCTATGAGTGAGCTAACTTCCACTGCAGAGCCGAACGAGCTATTCATGGCTACTAGGTCGCCAAAAAGTAGCCTACTTGTCGTGTACCCTCGAACGAGCCGAAGTCAATGAGCAGTTTTGGTGCACGAGAAATGAATGAGGAATGCTCGAGTCATTGGATGATTAGAAGAATTACAAATGATACAGATGATAGAAGCAAACCAATGCAGATTTATAGTCGATAAATATAAACTTTCGGAAAAGTAGAATTCTTTTCATAATATCTTAATTTTAGCTTTAAAAGAGACAGATTTAAAGCGAGGTATATTTCTAGGAAAGGATCCAGCGGAAGAAGTAAAGGTGTAAAGTTGAATAGTCGAGTTCGTATTATTTCTACTTAATAAGGACTTAGTTTATCCAAACGCCGGAGTCACGAGAGAGGAGTTGCTTTAACAATGAATTGGAGTTCAAGCAGACCTCTTATCTTGAAAGTACCACCCATAACTGTTCCTTGTTCGAAGATGGTGTACTCGTCGTTAAATCATATCTTCAAAGAAGTTAGAGAAAAATGAAGGAGAGAAGAAAAATAGCAAACAGAATTACTGTAGACGCTCAAATGTACGACGGAGTGTTCACATTGGGACGACCCGTTGTCCGTACACAAGTTGCAGAACGTCCGTAGAATATTACGGATGGCTAAGCAAGGATAGTTTCAAACTATTCAAGTATTTTTGAACTAAAAAAATCTTCGAAAAGATTGGTCAATCCTGAGATGGATGGTGTTCTCACTGAATTTAGAAAGTACTAACATAAAGCAGCTTTAAACTATTTCACAGAGGGATGTGATTTTTCACTGAGAGAGTCTTTTTCAAAATGTGTGGATAAAATGATGGAATGAAAAAGTCCACAAAGAACGAGCTAACTACGACGAAAACAAAGGCTAGCAACAGCTGTCAACACTGATGAAATCATCTACAACACGCAGTCATTAGCAGTCTACAGTGGATTAACTGGCCATAGAACACCTATACAATTGGGATGATTCTTAACGATACATAACATCTGATGTAACACTCTCAACTGTGCTCGATAAGGTATCGATTGGTCACAAGAAATGTGGTGAAACAGTTCTGTGCCCCAAAATAAACCACCGAAAGCAAAAATGACATCTATAGAAGTCATATCGGCCACTCTTTCCGGTAACGAGTGACTCTTAGGGAGCATGTCGTCGGTAAATGTTAAACAATATGGAAATCATTAAATAGATGCCTTTATTTTTTTCTGCACGACGATCTTCCACACCTACTGTGCGCATCTCAACACCTTGCATCGAATCGTTTCCTCAAATTGATCATCCACGAAGGTCTTCCAACTTTTTACGTGTGGCTTTTGATGCTGCTTGAGGATTTTCCTTTCATCATAAGTGTCCTTGAATGCTGCTGCAGTCGATTCTCCCTGGAGTCCTGAAGATAGCCGAGCTAGAACGTTCCCACTGCAAAGAGTGAACTTTCCCAGATAAGTCCGGCACCAAGTTTCCCGACCCAAGAAGAATGAGAGGCTTAGTGAGCCCGGAGCGGAATAGGACCAGCACAATGCTAGTGATGATCGACACCACTCCCACTGAGCTATACGCGTCCTGGATGCCTTTATAGTCATACTTATCTTGATCGACAAATAAAGCTTAACACCATCATACCATAAATAGATGCAGTACACCAAAGAGAGATCGTTTTAGATGGTTCTCAAGTGAAGTTTGTGCTTTCCCGTTTATTAGATTAAACAATGTAGAGTACAATTCAATGCGTAACCTACAGCCTACAACAGAGTCGAATGGAATTATTACTAGTCATTGTTATAGTTCGATTCACTCCATAAACAACCAGAAAGGCGTTACCATATTCACCAAAGTAAGAAGTCATGGTTATAGCTACATTAGAGCATGAGTAGTACAGTGTCAGAAATGCCGTTTAGTACGCTAAGGTCGTAGTTCAACGTAGCACTAGATCCACCAAACCACCTATGCTTTTGTTGTCTAGAAATCCGTGCCCCACTTTTCTGGGGAGAGCTCCCGCTGATGCAAAAGGACTGGTGATCTCCTACAGTGGAGGCCTGGCAACGTCCTATTATAGCTATTACACCATTGTGCAGAGAAGTCTTCCACCAGCAATCAACGACATTCAGCCAAATCCTGTGGACCAGCCAAACCCATATGCAAATCCGAAAACTATCGTAGATGGTAGGGATGAGAGAAGACAAACCGAATGGAAGAAGTGTTTTGGGATTCACAAAAAATTGCATGTCACGTGGCATGAAAACTTGGTAAAGGAAATCCGGTTTAGATGGAACGAAATCACCTAACTGTACTTCTCTAAGAATCCTCTACTCTAGCAAGAATCGCCAAATGACCTGTGGTTTCATCACCGTCACAATCGATTCAAAATCAATATTGATCTTTCTTCGTGATTTCTGTCGTGTTTCTCTTTTTTGTATTCGAAGACCAAATACTAATAATAATGTGATCGTTCCATTATTACTGTTAAGAAAACAGATTCTTCCTACCCGAATAAATACATTGACATGTAACATCGACATTATTGGCGCGAGAAATCGACATCTGGTCTACAATTTGCGCATACGTATCTGATTTAGCACTAGAAGGCTAAATAGAGCTTAACAATATCAGCAGCTCTAACTTATCTGGTATAAATTCAGTCAATTAGCTATGAAATGATGGTAGATATCGTTAGCTATTGGTAATCTGTCGCCTACAAGAGTTCCTGTACCCATCTCTATGCCGTCCTAGGCTTTTTCTTTCGCACTTACTGGCACCATAAGTAATTTATTTAATAAAAAATCGTCATAACTATTTGACGCTTCATCTAAACTTTCCATGAAACAGGCAACCTCTGCTCGCCCATCTGGCCCGAGCCTGCATTTGTCGTTTTCCAATCGATGTGCGGTTGTAGATCAAAAGCTGATATCGATCAGACCCTCATAACTATCTGACGCTTCAACCAAACACCCCATGAAAGAAGCTACTTCTGCTCGCCCATCTGGCCCGAGCCTGCATTTGTTGTTTTCCAATCGATGAGCGGTTGTAGACCAAAAGCTGATATCGATCAGACTCTCCTAACTATCTAACGTTTCACCTAGACTTTCCATAAAATAGGCTCTCCTATTTGTTCACCTGGGTTCTGCCGTATGTCGTCTCACGGTTTTCCTCCTTTTCTTTGTCACACTTACTGGTACTATACGTAATTTAATTAATAAAAAACTTCATAATTATCTGATGCTTCATCTGAACATTCCATGGAGGAAGTCACTTCTGCATGTCCGTTGGTCTGAGTCTGCATTTTGTCGTCTTTCATTCGATAATTGATTGTAGATCAAAAGCCGGTATCGGTTAGGGTTGGTGTGCATTAGATGATCAGACGGACGGAATGGATGTGGTACTGTAGCGGAGCGTATTTAGTCTTCCAATCCACCCGCTCAGTCATGAGTCCGCCGTGCTAACGGTGGCGGTGACGTGTTCGTCCTCGTGGATTCGCGTATCTTCATGGATTCTCGTGTCTTCGTGGATTGATAGCGTTGATTTCGAGCTTATCAGTAGCATGTTGTTGTCTGTCGTGTATATAAAGGTGATTTCTCGTTAGTGGTGAGCGTGTTTTGCTAACTTTTCTCTCTCTTCTGAATTGTCTGACCGTTCGTGAAAAATTCGTCGCCTTGTCCTTCTCTGCTCACATACATCGTGCTTCCCGATATCTGTTTAGCAATCACTGCTATTTGGTATAGCATAGTGTCCAGACGTCGACAGTTCTCGAATATCGCAGATTTAAAGATTGTGGTACAGCTTTTTTCCTCCTGAATGTTTCGATTTAGGAAATCTCTGGGGTGCGTACGATCTCCAACGATGTCGACAAAACCTGTAGAAGTTGCCGAGGAGGCCCTCGAGAAGAAAATGGAAGCGATGAAGGTGGTCGATGGGAACAATATGGAGGCTAAGAAGGGGACCACCACTGATAGGAAGAATGGGCGTCGTGAGCGTCGAGTGAGTGATTACCCCTAGTGTGTTGTGGTTAGTTCCCTTTATTATTGAGTGGATTACAGTTCGCTCGTATGTCAGATGAGGAAAGGCGCCGTGTTTGGGAAGAGGAGCAGAAATCGAAGAAGGTATGCTTGACAGTAATTTGATTCAAAGTAGTTGTGCACACGTGTCGCAGTGGTCGGAGGTGCCGTACAACACACTCGGGATCGATCCTCGCGCCCGTGGTTCATTCAGCCCTCCATCCCTCTGAGGTCGGCGAATTGCTACCAAACTTGTCTTAAAGGACAGCAGCACTGGCTCGATATATCGGTGGACCACTGCGTGTCATTGTAAACACCAGATATACATTCAGTCACTTCTAAACCATGCATAATGAAGTCGAATGCATGATGGATCCCTTAGGTAGTGATCAACGCCGAAGGCTTTATCCTTTTCATTCAATACATTTTGTATCTCTGCAACTGATCAGAATGCAATGGATTTTGCGTATATTTCTCCACATAGGATTAAGAAATGTTTACGAAGATTTTGGTATTCATTTCTTAGGTGCTAGAGGTTGGCTTGAAAGGACGGGTGAAGTGGTACTCCGTACTCGGCCATTATGGCTTCATCGCTCGCGCTGATGGCAAGCCGGACATCTTCGTCCACCAGGTATTTCATCCATACAACGGCATTCATTATAGGCATTTAAATCCACCTCGATTCGTGCGCTAATTTGATTCGGAGGTGATTTCTTACAGTCGTAGAAATTTAAGATAAACTGCTCGGCCGAGAAGCCAGTGATGAGGGCCCTAGTATGTACCAGATCGATTGCGCGATGAAATCAACTACGCTTTCCAAGACTGGCTAAAGCTATTGAATAAAAGACCGGTCCGCTACTGTTGTCTAGGATTGAGAGTTTTGCGGCTACTTAGTCATTACTCCCTTTGAGAAGAGGTTTTGAGGATTTACTACTGCAATAAATGCTTATGGAGTTAAAAGGTTATTCTCTTGGGTTTAGTCGTATTGCAGACTGTGGAAACAAGACTTCATGTGTTTTTGATAGTAGTTTTTGAAAGAGTTTCTCCGAAGTAAACCGGCATCTATTTTTGGAAATAGAAATATCACTCCAGACGAAAACAGGTTTTATGAATATTTTCCGTATGCAGCTGTTTACAGAGCGCCATTTCCAAATCTCAAACAGAAAAGTTTTACCTCCGTACATTGGCTGATGACGAGCCCGTCGAGTTTGACATTGTGGAAGGACGTAAGGGTCCCGAGGCATCGAACGTTACAGGTCCAAATGGTGGGAACGTAAGAGGGTCTAGGTATGTACGAAGAAGATTGTTTTGCAGTTTCAATCGCTATGCGTACAATGTTCATTTCAGATACCAGAGGGTGTTGTTGTATCGCTTCCGACCTCCACGTTATCACGTTTCGCATGGAAAGGATTCTGACAGAAGGAGAGGCGCTACGGGCAATCAAGCCAAAATTACAAATGATGAAGAGTGGCAGAAGGGGCCACTACATGGTCGAAGTATTCTGCTTATGAATTCCAGCATATAGTTTCTTTCCTAGTTCAATATCTTAGAATCAGTGTGGTTTTCACAGGAAACTAAGGGGACAGAAATGGAGACGTTTTTGATTGCCATTGCGGAGTTCCTAATCTTGTTTTGTCATAGCTACAGATATATTATGGGTGACTGTTGGCAGCCACAGTTTCTTTACAGGACACGGTCGACGCTTTCGTCCGCGTCGCAGTCGCCAACCACAAGGGAATGGAGTTGTCGAGCATGCGCCCACCGGTGCTGAGGCAACCACAGATGTTGAGGCTACTATCACTATAAAGCCCTCCCCAAGACGTCGCAATAACTATTATTATAATCGTCGTTTCCGACGTCAGAAGGTCGAGCCCAAACAAGGTGACGATGTGGGTAAAGAGGTACTTTATCAATTCCACATGTTAGGCATAGTGTAATGTGTAATATACACCGAGAACTGCATTTCATCGCATTCACATGTGGCATTAGGTAAACCGATGTTATACAGCGGAGCGAGGAAGTTGCAGCCACTTGATGTTGTCTTTTACGCACTGGCAATTTCCTTCAACAGATTTCATATATCTGGAGTGTAGTTTTGAGAAGGGGATTCATCCCTCCAACATATCCCAAGATGAGGAGTTTAGCGTTTCCATCAGGAAGCCCGGCTAAGAGGAGACCAATACCAGGATCCACCACCATCCTGGTATCAAACTAGTGGCATGATAGCAAATTTCCCTCTGATCCACAAAGGCAGCGACTGACTGCGTTAGTGATGATGACCTGGGGCAGATTTCAGCGAGACTGCCCTCGGAACTCAAGAAAAACAATGAATAAACCAGCAAAACTCCGAAAAACGGAGGTAATGTTGGGGCCCGCACTACCAGTGAGGTTGAGCCGTCCATTCAAGTAAGATGCCAATGAATTAGGATGTGACAGATTTGGTAAACAACACATTGGTGCAGCTACTTTTGGAATTATCGATGTTTATTTCGAAAGGATCTGATGAATGATATGCTGAACCTATTTTCTGCGTTTTGAAAAACATCTCAGTTTTGATCACGAGTAATCATTTCCTAGAGTCTAATTATAGAAAATGAACGCTTCAAATAGCTCCGGATTGGCCGCAGAGTCGGAAAATGGCCAGGACGAGGAGAAGGCTGGAATACGTCGTCGAACCGAAGGCGAGAAGGAGGCGGAGCTGAAAGCAACCGAAATGGGCGGTGGAGATGCGGACCCTGCCGGTTGCAAAAGAAGCACAGCTATGTAGTTGGCTTGCGGATCCACACTCACTCATTGTACTCATCTGATTTGTAAGGCATTTTTGTGTGGCAGTATACAGTCGTGGTCATCATCAACGATCCTCACTGTTGTCGCCCACAACTGTGCTGTTCAGTTGTTGCTGTATTTTGCCACTGATATGTATTTTTGTTTGTTTTTATTTTTTATAAAACGAGTGGATGTATGTGGCATAATTAATGAATTTCTATTAGAATATTATTTCCAATAAATTGCATGCTGATATGAGCACTACCTTATGGAAGGGTGCCCATTTTATGAGGACAGTTGTGGCATGTGTAGTGCCACGGGTATTTATTTATGAGGGATAGGAGTGATGTGTATATACTCACCAATCTCTGCTTCAGAATTTTACGTTTGTACATGAGGATAGCGACATTATGCTTTTTATGTGGAGAGGTATAGCATCGTTATAGTCGGTAGAATTTTGGAGTGCAACTGAAAGCGGTAATATGTGGTTTAGGGTAAGTATAATTTCTGTAGTTTATAATTTCACATGTATCACCTGTTGCGCCCTTCGACGTCGGCTGACGCGGGTAGGCGCCAGTAAGTCTTCCATTTCTTCCTGTGATGTAGAAGAGAAGCCCAATGGGTTCTGCTAGCTCTGGGAACTCGTCGAGCATCATATCCTGCTTCTAGGCTTTTCGAGAACTTTGATTATCGGGTCTATGGTCTTACTGCAGTAAGTTTGACATCCCGGTGAATCAACTTACTAACTGTTCTTGTCCATCAGTTCTCGTTTATACGTATTACGTGTCCGGTACACCTAATTTTGACAGTTGCGAGCGCAGCACGACGTCTATGATTTCTGATAGTTGACGCAGGTCGGACCTTGGGATCACTTCCCTTGTTTGTGTGACGCAATATATTCCTATCATCGTCCTTCAGACCGTGTGTTCAATAACTCTGGTGGTCTTTCATCCTGTTCATGCAGCGACTAGGTTTCTGACGCATAGGTTAAAGTAGGACGTATCGTGAAGTCGAAAAGGTGGGCGTAGAGTCGGGTTTTGCCTGTTTTCTTTATCAAATCGATGCTCGGAATCTGCCTAAACCAGTTGAGCAACTCTGGTGCTATGTCGTTCATCATGTTGATTTTTCGACCTAGATAAATCTAACGTACATCGTTTTTGTGAGATTTAGTCGAAGACCAATCGTTCCACAGGCTCTATGAAAGTCGGCAAGCATTCGTTCCGCTTGACCACTGTTTGGTGTTATAAGCGCAATGTCATCAGCAAAGCGAAGATGGTGTAATTGTCGACCACTGATTTCCACTCCCATACTATTCCATCCCAATGTTCGCATGTTTTCGAGGTTGGAGGTAAATTGCCTAACACCTCTTTTGACGTCGATGTTAATATCGTTATAGGATGATAATATCTTAGTTGTGAAAATTTTGTAGAGCTCATGAAGAATCTTTGTGTACTGAGTAGGGAATCCCTGACCATCAAGAGCTTCCATGACTACTTCTATCTCAACTGAATCAAAGGCCTTCTGTAAATCGATGAAAGTGAGACAGAGCGGTCCTTTGTCCTCTCGCGATACTTCAATGAGCCGCGTTACCGCGTGGATGTCGTCCATCGTACTAAATCCTCTTCGAAACTCTGCTTGCTCACATGGCTGTCCTTCGTCCATTGTTCTGTCAATCCTGTTTAGGACGACTCAAATGAAAAGTTTGTGGACGACAGACAGCAAACAGATTGAGCGATAGTTGTCGATGTCGTGGAACGATAGAACGGTCTTGCTGGTCTTCCATTGAGTAGGGACCTTGCATTCAGACAGGTAACGTGTGAAGAGCCTAGTCAGCGTGTTTACGAGGACTGGCGGAAGGTTCTTCAGGTGGCCTGATCTTATCCTGTCCGGACCTGGCGTTGCTCGATTTTTAACCAACGAAATAGCATGTCGAATTTTGGAAGCGATAACCAGTGGTACGACGTATCCACTCTCTTTTATTTCATATGTGGGGACGACAACGTGGCTATTGAAGACGTCTGAGTGGTGTTGGTAAATGATTCTCTCCATCGACATTCTGGACGCTGTAACTGTGCCGTCTGGACGTTGGAGTGCAGCCATCTTGGTCCTATAATTGGCGAAGCTTCGGTGTGCTTTGCGAATGCTTTTCCCAGCCTCTGCAGCTTCGGCTATTACTGCTGCTCTTCTCTCTCTAAGACCCGGACGTTAGTTCACGGTTGTCTGCAGCTCGTGCGATTCCACACTGGCGTATCGGCTCGAGTGTTTTTAGAGACAGAAGTCTGTTGGTGACTTTCGAACTCTCCGCTTTCATAGCGCTAACGTGATGATGGTGAATGGGCCTATATTATTGCTCGTGGATGTCGTCGAGAACGGCATTTTCTCGACAGCAGATTAATGAATTAATAAGTCCGAGCTTATGACGGTTCCGGTACTTGCTTTTTTGAATTTAGCGGCGTTTTGTCCTTTCCGCTAGAAATGAAATCTTGCGCGGAGGCGATGGTCTGATCCCGTGTAGGATTTTGGAACAACAGCGAGATCGGTTAGGCAAAACATTCTATTTACTATGATGTGGTCTATTTCGTTATGGTACTCTCCAATGGGAGACTCACACGTCTAGTGTTGAGCGTGGAGCTTCTGGAATTGCAAGTTACCATGAATTGTCTTGGTCGCCATGATAAACTCAAATAGCCGCTCACCCCGTTCGTTCCATTCTAATCCGTGGGTCCCAATTTGACGTTCTTCTTGCTCCAATCTTAGCGTTAAAATCTCCAATGTTGACCTTAAAGAATGTATAGCCTGCTCTGTAGAGCTACTCCAGGTCTACATAGAGCGCTTCAACTTCGTCTTCGTCATGGCTTGCCGACGGTGCGCAAACGACGAAGATTATGAAAGCTGGCACTGATCCATATCTCTTCAATCGTAAATGCACGATTCGAGTTGTTAATTGTTCGAATAAATCGATGTTGACTGAAAAACTCGTGTTGACGAGAACGCCGACGCCGCCAACTCCTCTACTGTCGCATGTTCCGAGGAACAGTTCTTCTCTGGTGTCATAAACGCCGTTGTATGGGTGGAGTCTTCTCGTCTCGTCCAGTTCGATGACGTCGTACCTTATTTTTATTGCTTGCATGATCAAGTCTTCTATCGAGGATTCAGCTGTAAGTGTGCTTACCTTGTCGGTACAGATCGTCACCTTAGCCCTTTACGAATTAGGCAGCTTAGAATAACTTTGAGCTTCTAGCAACCGGTCCATACTTGCCCTACCCAGCACTGCTGAATCGGGAGCTCTTTCAGGGTCAGGGGAATGAGTCCCGTTTATTTTACCGTTTAGCTTTCTAATACTCACGTATAGCTTGGTGAGGTCTGAACGTGGGGCTGGGTATACTCACGAATAGCTTGAAAGTCTCTCCCAGAGTAGACAAAGAGCTCACCTGTTGGAGACAACTCCTAAGCGTCTCCCACATACTTCCTCGTCAATTGATTGCAAGCTTTTGGCAGAATTTCCTCGTACCATCGAACCTGCGTAAACAAGAACACACCCTCGCACGCATGTGTGATAAACCCTCGCAAATAGGGAAAGTGTGTGCAAGGTCGCCTTTGGTCCGCTATTAACCTCCTGTCCGCCACCTGAGGATGCGCCACATTGTCTTGCGACTAACTGACTAGTCTCGTGCAGGGTTTAGTTCGAAAAGGGATACCAGTTATTCATGCCGAGGCCGAGAGAACAAGAGGTTTCCAATGAGTATAATTTAGTATCTAGTGGTTATATGACTGGAGATAAGTTGCTCACACTTAGATGCAAGGTGACGATGGTTAAGAGTTTCAGTATAAAATATCCCCATAATATCTGCTTTGTCCTTCAGAGGAAATCCTGTATCTCACAAGTCGTTCACAAGTTTATGAAGAGGCTCGTACCTAGACTCAAAAATGATCGAATAATCCAGAAAGGGAAGTCATGTCTAATTTTTCCTTTCATTGGTGCTAAATATTGCTAAGGTAGTGCTTTGTTTTCTTATTTTTATTTTATGTTTCTTATGAAATGTCCTTGATGAGCTGGCACAGCGTTGTTAACAGCTTTTAGTTCTCATTAACTGTAATTTTGACGATTTCGCCTGTTGTCTACCGTCTAGGAAGTGAGGATACACGTAGACTGCTCATAAAGGATAGCAAATGCGTGTACTTATCAGCATAGAGCGCCTGTAGTGAAGTGGTTAGAGATAATCCCCAACAAGCACTTGATCCTTGGTTCGACCCCATGCACCAGGCTCGCCAGACTTTCCATCCATTCGGGATAGGCAAATGGGCACTAGAACCGTCTGGGAGAATAGCAGCATTGATTCGATACATCGGTAGGCCATCGCGAATCATTGTACAGGCCAGATATGCATTCAATCACCTCCAAATATGCTTAATGAAGTCGAATGCATGGCGCATCCCTCTGGGATTGATCAATGCCGTCCTTTGTTCTCTATTTGTTGGCATGTATTTATTATTTACACCTATATATTTATTTCGGACGCATGTAGTGCAGTGGATAGAGGTGCAGTGCGAGGCATTCGCATTCGTCATTTTCATCACATGCCTCGAGCAAACAAAGCCCTCCGTACAAACAGGATTGCCAAAATAGTACAACAGTTGGTTAATAGGATAAAATACAGTGATAAGCTACATCGGCAGGTCATGATGAGCCATTGTACAGGACAAATCTCTTCAACCATCTCTACGATGCTCGATGGAGTTGGTCGCGTGGAAGGAATTCATCAGTGCCGAACGCCTCCACGTTTTTAAATTTATCTATTCGGCTGTGAAGAAGCCGAACTCGTCAAAACATTAGCCGAAGAACATTGTGAAGTAAAGAATGTATTAATTCAAAAGACCGATTTTCTATAAGCTTCGGCATAAATAATCGATATAATTAACCACAGTCCTCCCGACGGTTTACCGCCTCATCGTGGCTGGGAAGTGTTCCTGGGTGTTGGACTGCGACGTACAGTGGGAGATTCGTCCTCACGGCAGGGTCTCCCAAGTTGAGAACGAGTCCGGCGTTTCCATCAAGAAGCCTAACTAAGAGTAAACCAATACCAGGATCCATCATCGTCCTGGTATCAAGGTCAAATGGTGGCAAATCTTGCTCTGATCCACAAGGGCTGCGACTGCCTGTCGTGGTGACGACCTGGGGCAGACTTTGGCCAGGCTGTCCTCGGCATTCCAAGGAACCACAATGGATTAACCAGCAAATCTCCGAAAAATGGTGATTATGCTAGGGCCCGCACAACTAGTGATGACGGTCCGTTCAAGTATCAAGTAATTAACCATAATGATGCTGAGATATCTGCAAAACTTGGACCCAGGGCCAGATCAAACCACGATTTCCCTTTCTGGAGGTCGCGCACTACACATTGCGCCACGGAGGTCCTTGCTTTGCGTTTCTATCAGCTAGTTTCCTATCTACCAGTGCCATCAACAATCACCCGTCAACGGGATTGAGCTGAGGAGCACACATCGTTGTGGTTGATTTCGCATAATACCATATCGTGAAAGTTGTAGTAGGCACTAAATAAAAAAGTAAACAAATCGATGTAATTATTTATACGTTCTTATGAACTGATCTTGTTGACCTGACCCGAGGTTGGTACTGTTGTTGCTGTTGTTGTCGTTGGTCGATGGCTGACGTTTCGGCGACTTATCGTCAGAGCCGTGCTGCTACGAGCGGACAACCGTGGGACTGGGATAAAGAACGTATTAATTTCAAGCAAAGAGTATATGAGGCAGTGGTATATATCTATATCATCTATATAAACATCCGGCGTTAGCAGAAACCACTCACATGGTGGTTCATACTTCTGAGTACATCCCTACCGTTTAAAGTTAAAGATTGCTTTAATGCGATGTTCCGTGATTCACTAAACACAAAATTTCACGAGTTTTGTGCCAAACAGAGCAGATAGATACTTAATCCATCGTCATCGTGTAAGCCAATGTCGGAGAATCTCAACGTCTTTGCATAGATACTCTTACAAGTTTGAAAACTTCCTTCCTGTTAGCGACCGACGACTACCTGTCCTAACGACTTGGGAGTGTCACAACACGGACACGGATGCGGATACTTGGAGGAAAATCTTATTGAACAGACAAAGTGTTTGACGTAAAAATTGTGCAAGTGCTTGAATGATTCTTGAAGATAGACCATCAAGCACTTTCTCAACTTAGGACATTATCGATGAGATATACAAATTAAAAGTAAAAGCATCGTCCTTCCAATGTTTTACCACCTCATCATGACTGGATCGTTCCTGTTCCTTTGCCAGGTGTTCCTGTGTGTCGGGCTGCGATGCACAGCGAGAGGATTCATCACCTCAGCAAGGTCTCTCAGGCTGAGAGGGAGGCCCGGCTTTTCCATCAGGAAACCCAGCTAAGAGTAAACCAATGCCGAGGTCCATCACCGTCCTGGTATCATAATAGTCGCATGTTGGCAAATCTCCCTTTGATCCACAAGGGCGGCGACTGCCCATGGTGGTGACGGCCTGGAGCGGACATTGGCCTAGCTGACCTCGGAACTCAATTGTAGTTTCGTTACTGAATTGTTAAAAGGTCTTTGTACTAGTACCAAGTTTGTACATGTCCACTGACGGTTTCAATAAACACTGTTTTTCCTCTACTTGAGAATACTTTGCACATGTACGGAAGAACTGCAGATTCCGCTAAATCTCTGAACTTTTATTCGAACAAATGAGAGTACCGTTGCCGCGCTCTAATCGTAAATTGACGCCGATGGAATGGAGCGATTCGAAGCAAATTCGTGGACATCTATTATTCGTGGGATTCATTCGTCAGTTCGCACTGTGTTCGTTTTTTACTTGCAATAAAATTTCTATGATTTTCGATGCAAAGTGATTTTTCTTCTTCAGAAGGCTAATTATTCTGTCCGAGAGTGCACAGACATGTCAATCCTTCAGAAAATTCAGGATATCGAAGATGAGGTAAGGTATATTCCTTCGTATTTAGAATCCAGAGAGACATTCTTTCTATGTGAAAGCTACGTATAGTATATGTATGTTTGTACACATGTACACATTGTACAAAAATGATAGAGGACAAAGCTGTCGGCGTTGATCAATCCTGAGAGATGTCCCATGCATTCGACTTCATCAAACATCGTTTGGAGGTGACTGAATGCATATCTGGCCTATATAATGATTCGTGGTGGCCTACCAATGTATCAAGCCAGTGCTGCTATCCTCCAAGACAAGTTTGGTACCAATTTGACGACCCCGGAGGTATGGAGGGTCTGGCTGACCTCGGTAGCGGGGATCGATCTCATGTATATCGTAGGCCGCCTCCGAGCACTGTGCCATACGCGCCTCTGTGCATATTGTATATATATGTGTGTATAAATATATGCATATATGTACATATATATACGTATATATGTATGTGCATACATGTATGTATGCTTATATAATTTTGGCTATTCACAGGGGATGTCATTGTTTCTACTTCTTAACGTACTAAGGCGTCCATATATCGTTATAGTCTAGCAGATTTTTTATTTCTTGCTCACACCTATGAGAACGCTTTGCTTGTTATGCCATTTAAATGATTACATCAGAGGGAGAAAAGTTTGGGGGTGCAGCTTGTTGTTATAGCTAGAGAACACTACGTCAAATCAACGATATTGCCAGTCAATTCTTTTCCTAGGAGAAACGCTCGCTTATTTTCCTTCTGCACTTGTGTTTTGTAAGCACGTCTAGCGAAGTGGTTGGAGGCACCCTTCAATACAAATGGGATCGATCCCCGCGCCCTCGGCCCACCAAGCCTTCCATATTTCCGGGGTGGTCAGATTGGTACCATACTTGTCTGGGAGGACAGCAGCATTGGCTCGATACATCGCTAGGCCACCGCGAGTCATTGTAAAGGCCAGATATACATTCAATCACCTCCAACGATGCTTAATGAAGTCGAATACATGGCGCACCACAGAGGGACTCATCAACGCAGAGAGCTTTATCCTTTGTCTTTTTTTATTTGTATTCTGTATGTATTCTTTCTTGATAAGCTTGCACGAGGTCGGCTTAGCCGAAAATAAATATATTTATCAACCTCGTGCAAGCTTATCAAGAAAGAATACATATTGATTAGTCACACCGAGGTTTAGGGAAGGTCGGTTTCGAAATGTATTCTGTATGTTTCTTTGTGACATAACCTTCAGATCGATTCCTTATTTTGGATATTTATAACAGCAAATTACGATTGGAAGTAATTCCTTTTTCCGGTGTGATGTCTGCAGAGGCGTGTCACTATTAAATGTTTTGAATTTTGAATACAGTTTCTGGATTTAACGAAATACCGGTCTGCGTTTGCGCAGAATAACGTGGAGTTAGTGGAAGGTCGTAATAGCACGGTAGGAATGGAGCCTTAGGTTTACGGGTAGAATAAGCCGAAGGTGATTAGAACGATCGGAAAGATGTTCGTTTAACCTCCTAATTTGGCGGCAGTGATCGACCTCAATTAGTTTCCTTTAAGTCAGGATATGTTTAGAGGTCAGAGCTTCAAAGACTATGTTATTCTTAAAATAGTATATGTTAAGCTAGCCATATTTCCTGCTCTATCTTGGGCTCCGACTGTATGTTACCCCTATTCTTTTTATGAAAGTACGCTCAATTTTGTTTTTTCACTTATGTTGCTTGTTTTCGATGGCCCGTACGCAGAAGAACAAGGCAACCAATGCGCACTTGGGTATGCTGAAAGCTAGACTGGCCAAGCTTCGTCAGGAGTTGATAACACCCAAAGGAGGTGGAGGCGGCGGCGGCGAGGGATTTGATGTGGCGAAGACGGGGGATGCTCGCGTCGGTTTCGTAGGTACGTTTATACCTTGCTTCAAAATTTCGAGTGTCTTTACCCAAAACTGACGATTGTCTTTGTTGGTGCTCCAAGGTAATCGCATAGTCGGCAGTTTTCTTTGGAGATTTTAGAATTGTCGTAAAGATTCTAACATTTTTTTTCGTTTTAAATGTTTCCAAATAATACCAATTTCATCCTGCAGTTCCTTTGTTGGATATATTTCGCGGGTTTTTCTTACGCAGTTCTATCTTATTATTTTTTGGTCCTTCTTTCCTTTGAATTTCCAAACTGCTGTGCATTTTCATAGCTGTGCTTTTGTAATATTGTAGTATACGAAATCGTGTAGATGATATTTCACTTTGCAAAACTGGAGGTTTAACACCTACTTTTTGATTTTTGTAATGTTTGGCTTATGAGAGCATACGATGGAAACTAAGGTGATTTACTGTTTTTCTTTAATAAGCAGACAGGATGGTGTAGTGGTGAAGTGCGCTGCTCCCCGGTAAGGACAACAGCGCGTGTTCGTTCTCCACTGCTTACACCTGTGGTCCGGAGTTTTGCAAATATCTCAGCATTTCATACGAGTTATAATTCGAAACATAACCTGCCATTAAGAAGAAAAAAGGCAGTAAATAAAAGAGTTAAGCAGACAGGGTTCTTATTGAAGAAAAACAGCGAATTATCAGTCAATGCCGAGGTTAATAGAAACTCGGTCTTGGGAATTGCTACGTAAGGTGATTTAAATTTCACAGGTGTACAACGTGGTTTCAGACATGTTTTACCCATGTGGTTTGTTTTTCTGTGAAAGAGACACAAAGAAAGTAATCTGCTTGTTTTACCAACTTGGCGTATCTCTTGATGCTCTTGAGGTGTTTGGGGTAACTCCATGATTTCTAAGATAAGTCTAATATCTTTAAAGTGACCTAACTCTGTCTCCTAGACATTTTCGCTTTGGCTATGCATCCATTTAGGCACTATGTAATTTGTTTGTGATCTCGATTTGAAATCATATGGCAAGTAGTTGAAGCGAGTGACGAACACAACCCGCTATCTTATAAATGTCATCCTAGAAAGCGTTGTCGTCTACTAAAATACAGAAACGAGCTGTGTGATGTGTAATGATTATGTTATTTTTATCCGGTTTAGGTGAGATCCCTTCACACTCTTAGCTGTTTATCACTATTGAGGTCACACGGTTGGCCTCACTAACATGTTCTCAGAACAGAGGATCAATAATTGGCATCTATTGGACTTTGTTTGCAACAAGGTGATTTGTCTTGTGGCAAGGTTTCTACTAGGATGACGACTGTCGCTGAAATTAGCTTAGTTTTAACTACGTTTCCTAACGATAATGTTGAGTTTCTTTTCAAAGTGGGAGGACAAGATGAACAACTCAAGCAAAAAGACAAGGGTGAACACTCGCGGACATCAGCCACAATGGGGTGATAAACTGTTGAGTACTGGGGACAGTGATTAAACTCTACTTCTGTTACTCAATTCGAATATCCACACTCCGAGTCTGTGTACGTTTATATGAGGAGAAAAGGTAGACATCTTTGCCCGCACACATTTGTTCCCATCCCATGTACGCTACATCTAGTCGTATGCAGTAGGAATTCAGCACAACGGATTTCACCTGGTTAGAGGACAGAAAGTCGAATTATTTCATCTGCGGTGAACTGACTTTCATTTAACCTCTATGTGAATGATCAATAAATCTTATTTCATTGATAGGCTAACAGCAAGTTTTTACCAAATATTTACTCGACTAACGTTTCAACTAACTATAGTAGCACGATTGTAGCTTATTATGTACCGCCTACTCTTTTTAACGGCAGGGTATGTATTGCGAAATATAACTTCAATGATGCTGAAATATTTGCAAAACTCCGGTCTCCCCGGAAGGGACAATAGCGCGTTTGTTCCCCACCGCAGGCACCTGCGGTCCGGAGTTTTGCAAATATCTCAGCATCATTATAGTAGAATGTGTAGCTAAGTGGCCGGAAGAGCCCTGCAATACACATGGGATTCGATCTCCGCGCCTCAGACTCACCAAGCCTTCCATCCCTCCGGGGTCGACTAGTTGGTGCTAGACCTGTCTAGGTAGAGGCACTGGTTCGACACATTAGTAAGCCAATGCGAGTTTTGTAAAGACCAGACATGGATTCAAGCACTTCCAACGATGCTTAATGAAGCCGAATGCATGGCGCATTCCTCAGGGATTGATCAACGCCAAGGACTTCATCTTTTAATTGAACGTTTCAACGTCTTTGTTTTCTTCAGAACGGATGATCTGAGTCAATAGTCCACAGTTATTCGTCTTCGCAATGTGGGGTCTTCGTAGTGGAATCTTCGGGAGTAGAGGACGGTTCGAATGAGAACCTCACTCGGAAGTGCCTTTTGTACGGCGTTGATTGTTGTTGATACTGGTTACCCGTTGATAGTAATATGTTTTTCAACGGACAATCCATCCGATAGCAGACGGTATTAGGTAAGCTTGCAGATGCCCAAGTAAGACTGCTGTAAACCTACTTTCATTTAACATAGATATGAATGACCAATGTATCTATACCCTACAATTGTATTCTATCCGTGGGCAACCAGACACTGTTCATTGTTTCAGAAGAAGACAAGGAGTTATATAACAACCTCATGTAAGATCAACGATTTGAACACATGTTAAAGTGTTCTTTGTTTTCAAACGACTGTCATTCAACTTCCGTAGTAATAATCAATTTCTTGGATTGTTAAACAAAAACGGGGTTGATAAAGAGATTTATTCGGATGACATCTCTATGTCTTCGTCTTCGTCAAAGCGCTTGGTCCACAGTTGTTCGTCTTTTCGATATGGCGTCTTCGTAATCGCATCGAAATGGATCATCTCGTCAGTGGAACACCTCACGAATGAGACATACTCACCTGGTAGTTCTCTTTTATACAGGATGATTGTTGTCGATACGACTATCCGCTGAGGATAAGTTGTTTTTCAGCGGAGAATTCATGCTGTAGCAGTTATATTAGTTATCACATGACGAATAGCAGAACAGTAATTTTCAAACCGACTATTGTTTAACCTCGGTATTAGTACTGTTCATTATTTTGCCATTTTTGCACATTGTTTTGAATGATCCTCATCATTTAATTTCAGTTTATTGCACATTCTCTATTTTGAGTCCTTCTGTATCACATTAGCATTCGACCAACGAAATGGTCTCTTGAGCTCTTTACAAGCCATCTTAACGAATGCAATAATGTCGTGTTGAACTTATTTTCATGGCTACTGATTTTCTCTCCGAGTTTTGTGTGTTCAAAAAGTTTCAATCAAAGACCGCATCTGTTTCTGCAGTTGTTTGTTGAAGTGTTTTCGATAGTCTTTTAAAACATTATGATCCAGTAGATACAGTCGTCCAACTAGCACCTAGTCTCCAAATGATTCACGTATTCCTCGAAATTTTCGAACCCATTACTGCTCGGCTTCTTCAGTTATTGTGACGACTCGAAGAACTCTGTTCACATTTTCATTGCTACTTTTTGCATGGAATAGTTTAAACTGATACAACAGGACCGTTAAAATTCGACATTTTTCGTTATATTTCAAAAGCTGACTTTTGAACAGAATGTTTTGAAATCCAATTTTAGGGCAATGAATTTATCTTCTCAGAAAGTCACTTCTGAGATGAATTTAAAGTAAAAACACTGGTTTGAAATTCCGTACCTATTCTTCTTAAGTCGGATTTTATCGAAATTTCGAATGCTCTAGTAATAAAAGGGCTATAAATTCCCATGTTCTCTAACCCTTATAAGTTGCTTGCAACACAATTTCTGTTGTTCCCTCAGCTTTGTTGTAGCGAAGCAACTAAGATCTGCAAATCTTGACTAACAGCGCAAGTTCGTTGATTCCATAACAATAACCTCATAAACTTTTTAGCTTACAATTTTACTGAAGTTATTTCAGCAATGGCTTAATTATTGATTGGATGTTGTTGTGCTGGAGAATTGATCTGTCTTATATCTCTTTATATACTGGCTCACTCTTATATCCATCACGAAGAATTTCACGGATTGAGTGTTCAACATTGACTATTCGAAGAAAATTTGCGTGATTTTACTAATTTTTTAATTTCTATTTTTTAGAAGTGATGAGTAAAGCAGGAATTTTTTCTCTTTCAGTAATGTAGTCTCACCACCGGTCTTGTCATAGTGGGCACTCCAGTTTCATGCGGTATCTCAATCCCTTAAGATATATTTATCCTAATAATTTCATTACAGAATTTTTTGGAATTGTAATTGAAGCACAAATTTGTTTTTCTGAGACACCTGATTATTTAACTATTTAATATTTATTTTTTACATGACGCGTAATAACATCTACTGTGTGGATGTTCCCTTGCATCCAACATCCACAGTGGTCTTCGAACATTTCGCATGTTGTTTCGACTGATGCTTAACGATTTCGTCTTCTTTATGAATGTCGTAGAATGCTGGTCGAGTCGATTTGTCTTCGAAATTTGGAAATATCCGGGCTAAGGCGTTCCCACGTGGACTGGAGGAGATAGTTGGGGCTGCGATCAAACGAGCGGGTTTGCTTCTTGATCGACGGTATCACTAATCACTTCACTGACCCGCATCTGACTATTTAACTATTTTGGATAACCACAACATTGGTGAGATATTTGCAAAACTCTGGACGGCAGGTGTCTATGGTGGGGAACGAACGCGCTACTGTCCTTTCCGGGGAGTAACGCGTTCACCACCACACCATGCGGGTCCTTTGTTTCGCCTGTCTCTCAGCTATTTCTATCGATCTTTGCCACAGCAATCACCCGTCAGCGGGTTTGATCTGGGGCGCCTAAATCGGCATAGAACCCAGTTAAGCCGCGGCTGTAGTTGAAATCACAATGTTATACCTTTTTATTTTTATATTTTTAAAATCTGTGCTCCCCAAATCATTCCCGTTGACTTTCGATTGCTGATGGCGCTGTTAGAGTAAGAAAAGCTGTTAGAAAGGCAAAGCAAGGGCCTTGGTTGTGCACTGGGTACCACCTGACTCTTGGAAAGGTTAAGCACGAGTTCGGTGGTCATGTGAGGTTCCAAGTTTTGAAAGTGAATATTTCCATTGCAGCAGTAGGTATAAAAGATGTGTGCACAAATTGAAAATGTGCGACTGTTCTACAATTAAAATTTTTCATTTAATTGTTTTAGTGACCATTATATAATATTTATTTACAACTTAATAATAATAATTTCTGATTAATATAGGAGTCTTGTAGTGAATATCTTACGTAACAAATTTGAATGAAATCTGTCCTAAAAATTAGCTGCGATACGGTGTTCCATACAGTATTCAATGAGGCACAACGAGAAGAAAGCTATAATATCGTTGATGCTACAGAGTTAACAAGCAAAATGATCGTACAGCCTATCGATTTCTTATATTACGTATTGGTGTAGTAATCGTGGGTAAGATAGATGGAAGATCATCTTAACGAAAACAAAGGCTGGTTTCAGTCATTTTTGACTTGCCTTGCCGTTTTTAAAGCTAGCGATAGGATGAATATCTTAAAGAGACAAGAAAAAGCGTTAAGAATATACCCATGTTTGCCAAGATTGAGCGTTTTCGTGTTGGCAAGTGGAAAAAAATGCATATTGGTGATGAATGTTTGTCCTAGCAGTTACGGACGAAACGTCTGGGAATACTAGCTATCTGGTGGAGGAACTGGTGTTAGTTCTTCACGTAATCTTTCGTAAACGTAACTGTCCATGTCACTTCCATATCGAAAGTGTTCATCATCTCCCTCTGAATCACTTTCATAATCATCATTTCCAAGTGCATAATTATTAGGAGCTACAACTGGTTTTGTTGTCCAATCGTCACCGCGTATCATGTCATCTTCGTCGCTCAACTTGTAGTAAACGTCCAGCTCGCCTTCACCGCTTGACCATCGACTCATTTCGCTTTCTGTTCGATTTTTTTCTGCGTTTTCGTCGAATTCTCTCATAGATAATTCCATACTATGATTGTCTTCGTTTTCCATTGGAGCCGTGATCTCTCGTAAATCGAGAATCTCGTCACCAATACGACTTCCACGTCGTGACTTTGGTCGATCTGGTGGGCTTTCCGGCTCGTTTCTAATGTACACCGACTGAGCTGCGAAAACATTCGGAGAAATATCAGATGTTATGGGTGAGTCCAGTGACATAGACGGGACAAGTACTAGAGCAGGGACATCAGGATCACTGGAAGTTGAGCGATTCAGCAGAGTTACTGGTGGAGTTATTTCATTTAATGTTGCCGCATCACTTTTTTGTGAAGGCGGTTCTTCCTCATTTATGGCGTCTTCTCGAGACGAGTTGGATTTAGTGGACTGAGGTGGCTCACTATTATCCAAGCCCAGTTGAAAATCGAACGTAGGTTCTCGAGGTAGCTGTGAAGGGTCGCACATGAACATTAAACGAGCTTGACGCTCTGTGAGCACACGTGGCTCTTCGGGTTGACAATTATCGATGCAGTCGTCGATTTCCTCGTGTTTTGTAGGCGTTGCTTCTTTTAGAGGATTCATCATCTTCAGAACCGCACCGTTTCTTGATGGTTTTCGTTGACAGGAACCGTAATTGGGTACGGAACTAGAGGTAGCAGTAGTGAGTCCGTTTATGTTTTCATTAGCTTTTCGTTCTCGTTTTCGCTGGCGGGCATCTCTGAAAACGGCAAAGCTCTAGTTTATTACTATTCTTCTATTTCTAAGAGAATCCTAAGCGTATTTGGCTCTTTGTTAACAGATGTTAGGTTGGTTGAGGTGTGAGATATCTGTTACTGTTGATTGAGGCGGTGAATTCAAAAACGTTCGTTGAGTGGATGAGGATAGCGTATTCATCGCAAGAAGAAGATTACACTTGCAATACCTCAAACCACGACTACAATATAGTTTGCTACACAGACACACACACACCTGTACATGTAGTCGTCGTCGTTCTTATGCCTTAAGATGCACTAGCGTCTCCTTTTTATTGAATCGCCTGTTACAAAAGTACAAGTCGTAGTGGAATTTTCTCTCGTAGAAAAATTCATGTTTTCGGTTAACTGCGACCGTTTTCGCCATTTCTTTCGTCATGTTTATAGATTTTGTAGCCCTTTTTTTTTGAAAAGGAGTTAAGTTATTTTGAAGAAATGTTTAAAAGTTAAGCGTTTTCGATGAAGAACCTTATCGCCACTGGAAGCCTATGTGCGAAAACGAAAACGATTCTGAACCAGCGCTCGCTCTCTACCATGTTATTACATTGCATCACGTTTTTTGAATTGTAGTCCGACCGTGTACTTGTGTAAAAGGCGACGACTGTATTACAGACACATAAGAACAGCACACCATAACACAACGTCTAATTGTGTGAGAGGGATGAGGGGCTCTCCATGCAAACAACACATCTTCTCTAGCGGCTCGATTGCGACGTCCTTTCTTTCCGTGGTGGGAATTTTGTCACCATGCGTTGTAAACAAACTGGGTGGTTTGAGGCTATCGTCAGCACTGCTAAATTATGACGTTAGGAGGCTAACTAGCAGCTGTCGACGCTTATGTAATACCACACCACTCCTTATTTGAAATTCAAATAAGAACAATAAGTTGATTTTGTAGTGTTCCTCACCTATACAATCGTATTGCTCCTATGATGTAGCAGATGACAAAGAATGCGCCAACTACAGATATAATTGTAATCAGCTTAGTGTTGTCGGCATCTGACAATTCCAGATGACGTTGTATTCTTGACACTCGAACGCTATCGAGTTTAATACCCCCGAGAATTCGTGCTAATGGACCAGCCTGACTTCCAAGAATGTACTTCACCTGAAAAAAGGCGGTCATCTAGAAGTTTAGCTTGTGTGTTGCAAATGCAAACAACAGATAAGTTACGATATCCATGTTCTTTACCATTGTAATATCTGCATGTTAACGGAGTATGCTTCTTACTGTGTGAAAAAATTTCAATTCGTCAGCCTTCATTGGTCCTTGGGACACGTAATGCGTATGAATGACAACCGATGGACAAGAGCCGTTAGTGACTGGATTCCTCGGTATGTCAAACCTACTGCAGGAAAACCAACGACCCGATGGTCAGAGTTCGTCACAAAGAGCCTTGAAGAAAGATATCATGCTCGACGAGTCCCTAGAGTAGAGCGAGGAGAACCCACTGGGCTACTCTTGCACTCGACAGAGAAAAATGGAAGATTTACTGGCGCGTGCTCGAGTCACTCGACGATCAACGGGACTACACGTGACTTTGGTCCTTAGACAGTAATGAAAAGAAGAAGAGCAGACTTAATGAAATTGTCGCCATATGAACCATTTTTGACACGGGAGCATGAGAGTATTCAATTTGAAAGAAACTCTTGAGCGTAAGGCTTTTAAATGTAGTGTAATGTAAAGTTGTAGAAAAGTGTAGTTACCTGTGCGTTTGATTTTGAAAAGCTCCACAAGAATAAGTGCATGAGGTACGACTTTAGGCAAGTCCAATCCTCAAAGCTTTTTTCTTCAGACTATGAGATAACAGAGATGCTGATGTCTCACCTTAACAGGATCTATAATCATTTGTTCGTTGAGTGACCCGACGTTTTCCGACTTAGTTATGGCGAAAAGGACACGAGTCACGTTTGCTGGTTCTCGTTCGACTCGTAGTAGAACGATGTTGTTCTGAGTGAGAAGCGGTTCAGATTCATCTTCAGTTGCATATAAGACGGATTTGTCGTCGCCGTCGTCCTCTGACTGCAATGCATCGGATGTCGTCTATAGTGCGCAGCAAGGACACTATCAGATTAGCAGCAGTGTTAGTGAAAAACAGTGGAGTTATCGCATAAATAAGCAAAAACTCGAGTGTTAATTAAGAGGGTTAGAGGTTCAGATATGGAAGAATCTATCAATTTTTAAAGAAGGCGTATTGTGAGATGGCATAAATTGCCATCATTGTGGGTAATTTTCTAAAAAGGGTTAACCTATTTTAAGAATCTGTTACCCGTATTTTTCATAGAGAAGTTAGAATTTGGTTTCGTTATTTTAGCAAGTTGTGTAGAATGTGTCACTGCAGCAGCCGGGATTTCATAGATTTCTGCCATCATAGGAAAGATCACGTGACCATAAATTTTTTTGGATTTTTTGTTGTAAGAAGAGTGTATCGAATTACAATGATCCTGAGATATTTGCAAAACTCCGGACCGCAGGTTTCTGCGGTGGAGAACGCCCTGTTACCCTTTCAGGGCACTAACGCGTTCACCTCCACACACACCATGCGGGTCGGTATATGGAATTGTTGAGAAGTTGGTATGCAGGTTCCTGTTCAAAAGTTTGAAGCATTAAGAAATTGTTTTCCATTTTAGGAGTATTTGAATTGCTTTGGTAATAGAATTTATGTTTTTCATTGCAAAAAAAATTTTTTTATTATGGGAAGAATTTAGCACGTTAGTAAAAACAGACTAATGATATTTTTGTCAGCTTAGAGCAGTGACAAGAGTGAAGTGGTGAACTATGTTATTGTGAAAGTTATGTTATTGTGGTTTATTGTGTAAATAAGGCTTCTGTTATCGAAGTAACTCATGGATTATGCGCAGTACGTCATCCGACACAACGCTGTTAATTCTTTTCAATGGAGAGTCGGCTATTTCTTGCATTCATTTCAGAGAAGAAAAAAACTATTGTGCGGTGAATTGATTTCATGATGAATTTCGGAAGGAACCGTATCTCCATTAGAGACGATAGCGTATAAGGATTGTGAAGACTTACCTGTGTGAGACGTAATGTGGTGCCAAGACATTCGTTTGCTTGATGTTCACAGTATGACGAGACTATATTCGCTATTCGACGTTTAAAATACGTTTCGTATCTTTCGTTGGTGTGAAGATGTGCTTCAAGATTAACGTGTCGCATTCGCATGTCAACTACTGGTAGTTCGAGTGACTGAAAAGCATAAATAACATATTTGAAAGGCAGACAACTGCTGTAGGAATCGTAGGATGATTGTAGGAATCAATAGTGTTATGTTGAGTGCATCAGTGATGTCTACTTTGTAAAATAGATACTTTAATGAGTATGAAAAAACCGTTTGTCTGGGATTACGTGTCTAGGTAGAAAAAGTGGCCTAACGATTTTAAATTCGAGGAATATTACAAATTATCATTGGAACAGGCTTCGTAATGAACAGTCTATGAACATTGTGTCAACACGCTAAGGAGGAGAGATCTGATTATGAAGAACCGAGTTCTGATAAACGCGATGTATTTTTTTTACTACAGCTTATCTTTGTGCAAAATTTTGTTAGAGAAGAATGATGTTATTTTATTCAAAAGTTCTTCATAACAAGCATTACAAATAAATCTAGATTTAATATTGAAGCAAAACGACAAATCTTCTGAAAGCTAACAGGAAATACAAGGTGTAGTTTTGTTGGCGTTAGTGCTTTCCATTTAGGCTACGCTGCTTCATATATATATATATATATATATATATATATATATTTGCGTTCTGCTGCTTCTTTAAGTTGCTCGGAGAACTGCACTTGTAATGCACCTTTCTGCTGATTCCGAGAAAATGAAATCGAGGACAGAAACATTTGTGGTGTTGTTTCTGCTATAAAGGCGGAACTTTTTAAATAGAAAAATGCTTAATTTTATGGAAAAGAGGAGAAGTGAAATTAGGAGATGGACAGCTGGTAATACTATCCATGTAGTTAATCGTGAACTCCATTTATTTTTTCGATATGGTATTGAACCGTTACGGTCTCATGACAGTCTGATTTTCACGGAAATTGTAGTATTCGTTTTCATTGTGATGGTGCACTGCTACTTTTCTCAGTTATGTGGAGCACATTCGCAGAAACTAAAGGTAATGCAGGGCGAATTGCATAAGTTAATGAGGTACTATGTAGGCGAAGCACTTAATACGAAAAGTAATGGAAGGTATTCTGCTAGGGAAATTGGTTTCGTATAGAAAAAAATGTTAACTAGTTGTTTCGAAGTGTTTTTGTTTTTTAGAGGATGACATGGTTACGTCTAAAACCAAGGAATATCTCCAAAAGTTTAAAAAAAATAAGAGTTTTGTATTGGAAAGGATCTAAATTGTGCTCACAAAGTACTGAATGGATATACGGATTTCCTGGTCGTTTCATATTCAGTAAGTGGTTGAGGTTAGGCAACCCAATGCTCTATGTGTTTGTTATGAGCTCTGAACTACTTCAATGCGCATTGTTAAAGAAGAGAACCTTACGAGCGGTCGATATCTCGGCTTGTTTTGCCTCAACAGACGAAGGATAAATTATGGTCTACTGCTCATATTCTTGCGTGTGCTTGAATGCAAATTCACAAATATCATCAATGATGGCGTTGAGCATAAATGATAAGAAACGATGATTCAATTTGAAACGAGCAATTTTTCATGCATATGTGAAAGTGTTGAAGTTCTCATGCGAAATGAGGTGATTGAGGAAACTTAGAAACGAAAGAACAGTAACAAAGTGAAAAAAGAAGCAAATGCTGCTAACCGGAGGATGTTTTCCCGTACCTGAATAAATTGTTCACATTGGATGATATCTGGTTCAGTTACATCATCTGGAGCACCTTGTCGACAAATACACTGGTAATCTGTGTCATTGTTGCACACCATTCGACGTTGTTGCTGTTGTTCTTGGTGCGGATAATGAGCGCCGTCGGATTTTGCATTACCGTAGTAGTGCGCTTTTGTTGAAGTGGGGATCGTCGATGAGGAAACAAATTCGATGGTGATAGCAATGAGTAGAATCCGGGTGGTTTGACTGGGATATGATAGCTCTACGTTATGGTGGTGGTGGTGGTGGTAGTGCGTGTGGGACGAGCTCATGCGGCGAGTCGGGTTGCCAGGCGCATGCCGAGGACGAGAAGCACAGTGGCCCTTAGACGCCTCGTCGCCACCACACCAAGCCACGCCCCCCTGCCGAGCTCTTCACGAGGTGCGAAAGTAGCCTCCTCTGACTCACACAGGAGGCGAATCGCCATCGAACGAGTTCAGCATCAGATCATGTTCTTATTTTCGAGTTCAGCATCAGATCATGTTCTTATTTCCGAGTTCAGCATCAGATCATGTTCTTATTTTCTGCATTGTTAGTGTACCTATAGAGGAGGTGACTTATAAGAAAAAAAAACTTGGTTGCATCTTAGCGTATATAGTGAGTGAGGAATGTGCTGAAGTGATGCCGATGATCGTCAGATGAAAGAAATGCATAAATAACACGGCGAATTTATGTTCATCATATTGTAACTTGAATTTCGTGATTTTACCAAGCCACCCTGAATACCTAGAATAGGCTGAGATCATCCTTGTAAATGCTTCAAGTGTTCAGTGCATAACTTTTTGTAGAGCTAATATAGGTCATGTTGTACTGTCTAACTGAATGTTACAACCAAAAGAAAAAAATATGGCGTACGAATGAAATTGATTGTGGAAGTGTTTTATTTTTGTTTCTATTTGTAAAGTAGTTTAACAATTCTAGGTTTCCCGTCGGTAGGGAAGTCGACGTTGCTGTCAAATCTGGCTGGTGTGTATTCGGAAGTGGCGGCTTATGAGTTCACGACATTGACTACGGTACCGGGAGTGATTCGATATAAGGTTCGTGTCGTCTTTCTTGGTTCTTCTCACGATTCTTCATGAATAGTCATTGTCCCGCTGACGGGTGATTGCTGTGGCAAAGATCGATAGAAATAGCTGAGAGGCAGGCGAAATGAAGGACCCGCATGGTGTGGTGGTGAACGCGTTACTCCCCGGAAAGAACAATAGCGCGTTCGTTCCCCACCATAGACCATAGACACCTGCGGTCCAGAGTTTTGCAAATATCTCAGCAACGTTGTGGTTGTATTTCGCTTAGTACCCTACCGCGAAATTATAGTAGGCAGAAAATAAAAAGGTATAAAATAGTTATTGTATCAGTATATCATCTGTTTGATTATTCTTTAGGGTGCAAAAATTCAACTTTTGGATTTGCCGGGAATCATCGAGGGAGCGAAGGATGGGAAGGGTCGTGGTAAACAAGTGATAGCTGGTGCGCTGTTCTCATGATTCTATATCTCAGCTCCGTTGTCCTGCTTCCCTTTTACAAATGTGGAATGGTAATGCGAGTCTTTGAAAACGCTTATGTAGGCTTCTTCCTAGTATAAAAAGTGCCATCGTTGGTGGCCATTTTTCGTCTTTGGCGTGCGGAAGGCACTTGAAAAATTCGTTTTCCAAGTATGTAATCGATCGGCCCATTGTTCATGGAATTCTGAGATATGAACAAAACTCAGACCCTCAAATTGGTTTCAAACCCGCGATTACACTTTCGGAGGAATCGCGTGCTATTCACCATACCAACCGAGGCACTAAATTTTCCTTTCTCTCGGCCATTTGTTTGCTCTATCTGTGCTTTTTCTATTACACATCCTACCCTGCCATGGAAAAAGATTAGACCGTAAATAAAAGTGAAGACGTTGTGATTTTTAATTCCTTTTATGTCTATAACCCAACTTTATCTCGTTATATACTTCTACTTCTCTCTCTCTCTCTCTCTCAATATTGCTATTGTTTGGTCTTTCTGCTTTCCATTGAAAATGTAACGTCGAGAAACGCAGCAGAATCAATCATTTTGGAGAAGAAAATAAAAAAATTGCCTGTATCGCTTACGGTTTCGCTGGTCATAGATTGACTGAGCCGGAGGCAAGGGTTACTATGGGTTCCATTTATTCGTGACACGTTCTATAGTTGTCCAGTGATTATTCATTGTTCGAGTGACACGAAGAGTTTCAAACTTGCCATAGAAAAAAGAACGAGATAAAGAAGGGGGAGAGGTCTGGCATTCTCAGCTTTTTTTTGACTTATTTAAGTTCACAAGTGCATTTAAACGAAGTGGAGAGATTGGCACTGCTTTTTGCCGACGATTTGTCTACGAAATGTCGCAAATATAGTGCCTAAATATTTGGGTGGCCCGTCTTTAAATTACCTTCTGCGTCTTACCACTACTTCCATTCGTTTCGTTGTCTCCAAACTCCAATCCATAGAGGTAGTCAGGTTTAAGTGTGGATTCGGCTACAACTTGGTCTCGCATCTCTCATTTTCACTAGTATGTTGAGTGGTAGTCGTATATTCCGTGGAAATCCGAGATAGCCGTGCTAGGGCGTGCTCAGGTGGTCACAACAGGCAGTTGTCAGCAATCACAGCTCAGAGAGATATTTGCGGCTTCGCGATTCGGGCTCGTCCAGGATGACAGCGTTTTCCATGATTGCTACAAATCATGAGATTAGTCGACCGGAAACTCGATGACCATGTGACATCCTAACATATTGTCGATATGAATTATATTTTGCGCGAACCTATCCGGAAGTATTTTAGACTTTAAATTTCAACCGCACCTATCTCAGTTCAAAGTGAAATAAATTTACTGTAGAATCTTCACAACTTCTCCAAGAAGCTCAGTTATTCCATCAAAATGAGATAAGAGGTCTATTGAGTACTGGTTTTTTCTTGTTTTTTTCTATCCCCCATAGTTCAATTTCGCACAGTGAAGTGGCTTAATAAGTAGGAATTCATCCAGAAAGACTTTATAGTGTCCTGGTTCCCTACACGGCCTGCAAATGCTTGTTAACATCTTACGTTATTGAACTTTGACGAAGTTAGGGTTCAAAAATTTGAACAAGACAGGAAAACTGAATGGTCCTTAGATAGGGCGATTTTGTTTTACAAGTTTGTCAGTGAAGTCCTCAAATGCTGTTGTAGCCATACAATCAGATTATTGTGCTGCGATTATCTTTTTTCTAATAACTTCATTGTTAGCTTTTATAAAAAAGACGTTGGCTACTTTACAAATAGCTCATTTCTGCTTGCAACTGCCATAAATGATGCATCTGTCAGTTTTAACAGTTCGAATTATATACTGGGTTTTTCCTGTTTTGTTTACGGTTTAGAACTCATAAGGTGTAGTGAATGAAGTCGCTGAAGGGATGATGTCGGATGAATGACGGCTGAGTTTTCATAATTGATCGACTTTGTTCATCTCAAATGTGAAACCCCGGCTAGGAAGCAGATGTTCGCCCAAGGATGATTAACGGAGGTGTTTTTTGTGATTCCCTGAAGAGCGACGAGTTGTTCGGAACTTTTAATATCACCAAAAGATTTGTAAATACGACCAAAATTAGCGGTGTATTTGAAGTTTATTTTCGAACTTATTTGACTATTTAGTTCCTCCTTTTTTTACCAACTGTTGTTTTTCATTTGTATCTCTTACCTAGAACGATTACTCCTTGGAATTTTGTTAATTTAGAAGTATTTTTTGGCTAAGATCTTTTCTCAGTCCATTTTTTGTATTTACCAAAAAGGGTATTCTGTAAAGATGTGATATGCGCATTATTGTTTCCTCTAGCGATTGTTGCTTAGACATCTAAAGCAGTTGCTTCGTTGAATAGATTCCAAACGAATGCCGTATATCCCTTTATTGCTGGGTAAATTTCTTTTGTTTTTTTCAAAGAACTATGAGTGGAATACGAATAGGTTTAGAGCAAGTTGTAGACTCTAAGGCGATTCTATTCAGTAAAATTTCGTGTTAAATCACCATGTGGATGTGTGTTAGGCGAATTTAAGATATAGAGAGTAGTTGAGAAAACATACTAAGTTCTTATTTAGAAGATTTATCGTGTCTTTTTTGGAACGAATTATTAGTCCGACTGATTAGAAGGGGTAATTATCAGGGTTTTAACATTCAAATATTTCTTTTTGGAATATTGAAAAGATTGGTAACGGTGGGTTTGATTCCATGTGGGTGCATGTCTATAACGCGCAGAATTATTTAGTTCGAAGCACATCATCTAGAGCGATATGGTTATATATAATTGTTGCCAATTAAGCTTCTATTTTAGCGCTTTCTAGCTGAATGTGTAGCGGCATATTGTGGCTGGCTTAGGCAGAAGCGGCAGCTGCAACATCTGCGCAATTCGGTTTTTTTCTTTTATCCGAGTGCATGCGTTCCACCCCAGTTCGATTTTAAGTCGAAACTTTAGCTGACGTTGGCGTTTTATAGATCAGCGCTCTTGAAGCAATAAAAGCTTTCCCTGTCTAGTTTGACAAGGAGAGGCAAGGGTTTAGGTTTTTCCTCCACACCGAGTTGAAATAAATTCGGCTATGAAGCATTGTTTTGCAATTTTTTTTAATATAGATAATCTGGTTGCAGATATCAAGGACTTTCTATTTACTGCTTACTTCTTTTAATGGTGGAGTATTATGCGAAATATAACAATAATGCTGAGATATTTGCAAAACACTGACCGCTGGTGTCTTCGGCGTTGACACCAGCGGTCCGGAGTTTTGCAAAAATACCTCAGCGCCATTATGGTTGTATTTAACTAGAGACATTTTTATTAAGGTACTAGTAAGTTGATATTGGGATTTTGTTTTTTTTTATTACTAAAATATTCGAAATTGGGATTAATAGCGTTTAAAAGACTTTGATAGCGATTGTTTGGAATAATCGGTATTTTTCACATGCCAAGGTGCTCAAGCTTACGCCAGATGTTGGGAGAGAATTAATCTCAAATAAGGTTATGAGAGGTACAGTATGTGAGAGATAAGTGTGTGCACTTGCCATTCTTATACATTGGAATTCTTTGCTTCTTGTTATCGCTGGCAGGTTTTTCTCTGTTTGAATTCTCCGCTTTCGCTTCAAATATATAAGGGACATTCGTCGAAAAAGTATTCATACGAGGGAAACGTCGTCGAAAATTAAACCATCGGGTCAGCTCTCTGCAGTCTATCTTATTTAGATTGATCGGCTAGCATATCCGTCAAACTCACTGCCCAAGTGCGTTATACTTCTTCTTTGTGAAAAATCTGTCTGTTAAAAAAGTAGAGAAAGGGTGACAAATGGAAGAGTTGTTGGAAACTCAAGCGGCGAATGTTCGATGGGAAAATAGCCTATTGTGCTAAATTTTCATCTTTATCAAACCCGAACTATTATTACCTCTCGAAACAATGGTTAAGTTTTGTTTCACTTTGTTTTTGTTCTCTGCACTACTTACTAAGACCAAGTAAGAGATGAGGAATAAGAAAGTTCTGCTGATAACCCAACCGTTTTTTGCCTACTCTTTTCCGCGAAATTATTCCAGAAAGTTGAGTAATGTGGTTATCCTTTTAATTTGGATTTCTGATTTGGAGTAGTTAATCCATGGATTTTTTTTACCTTAGAAATTTTATTTTGGTCAAAATCTTTTCCGGATGCGTTTTTTATAGTTACTGAAAAGGGGTATTCTTTGAAGATGTGATATGTGCGTAATTGTTTCCTCTAGCGATTGTCGCTTCGACATCGAAATCAATTATTTCTTTGAATAGATTCCAAACCAATGCCGTTAGTCCCTATATTCCTGCACAAAGTTTTTTTCGAGGAGTACGAGTGGAATAAGAATGGGTTTTGAGCGCATTACAGACGCCAAAACGGTTCGATTCAGTAAAATTTCGTGTTGGATCATCGTGTAGATATGTCGTGGGCAAGTTACAGCTATATTTATCCAGCTATATAAAGTTAAGAGTTTCTTTTAAAATTTTGCTTGAGGAATTCGTAAACTCCGAACCAGTGCTATATCTTTCAACGATGGTTAGTCTTAGGTCGGATTTGTTTTTGTCTTCTAGAGTCGTTTGCAAAACCACTTGAGAGATGAATAAGAAAGTGCTGCCGCTGACCCATTCGTTTCACACCTACTCTTTTACAGCAAATTCTTCTAAAAAGTAATGTAGTGGAATAAGTAGACGATTTGTGGAGAGCAGCCATTCGGAGTTACGTAACTTACTAATGACATTGTTCTATTTTAAATCTCCCATATTTCCATATCGTTCTACGTTGTTTTCTAACAAATCGTGTTTGATGAATGTTTCATATCCTTGAGGATTTTCCTTATAAGAAAGACAACCACGGAGAAGCTTCTTTTTTCTAGAGGAAATACTAAAGTCTATGCTCTAAAAGGTTACAATGATTAGTATAAAGAAATAAAGTGGAACTGGTTTGGTAATAAACGACGAAAATTTATTGTTTGTAATTGATACTATCTCCGAATTTATTTCCTCCAATCCATTCTGTTCTTATGTCCATGGTTTGTCTTTCTAGGAAAAAGATCTTCACCGTATAACATGTAATCTTTGTAATCAAGGGGTTCAAGTGCACATCATCGAAATAATATTGTTCGTTTTTCTCTTCCATGGAACTGTCTTTAATAAGCCAACACAAGATTGTCAACATTTTTTTTTTGGTTTTCATTCTGGTAATTTCTACCTGATTTCTTATAAGATTTGAAGATTTCATTAGCGAAGCAATTCTACCACTTTGTATCCACGTAAAGGGGGTTCTAGATGGAAAACTAAAAATCCGATGACATTCTCCATTACGTGCACAGAGGACGCAGAAATATATGCAACTGTGATTTCTAAATGAACGTCACCATTAGCGCCGGATTAAAAAAAATACGAAAACATGAAAAACCCCTGAAGTGCTTTGGATAAACATTTTCGACGCTGAGAAATCCAAAAATGAATCAAATGGGCGAATGCAAATGGTGGTCACACGTGGCTTCTGGAATTAAATTTTCCACGTGATTGTGGGTTTGTGGCCGAAATGACGTCCACGAAACCGTTCCTACTCATCTATGAAGAGTACGTAATACCAACGTTATAAGTCGGCCTAGCGTGGCGAAGATAGGACACATATCCTTTAGAATCCACCTGTTTTATGGCAACTATACTCTCGCCTTTACTCTGTATTTAACTTGGTTTATCCTCTCTAGCACGTCGACACACATCGCGTAACTTCGATGCTAATTGGCACGAGTTCATCTTTTCACATGAGGGCAGTTTTTGCAGGAAAACAAAGAAAATCTTGTGGAAAAAAAAATCATTGTTTCAAGCATTGATATTAAGCGAACAAAGGACGAAAGAAGACGAATCTGCATATAGTTTTTTGATTTATATGTGTAATTAGAGTGCCTGATAAGAAAACAAATCACTCGATTTTAGTCGCTCGAACATGCTCTTTGATCCTAATGGTGCTAGACGTGATGAAACCGCTGAAGCATAAGCAGTTGTTGGAATATGAATTGGAAGGTTTTGGGATTCGTCTTAACAAGCAGCCGCCAAACATCGGATTCAAAAAGAAGGAAAAAGGAGGCATCAATCTCAACGCACTGGTAGGAGTTCATTGATTTTTAACTATATCCTTTTCAAGAAATATACCTGAATTTTTGTGCTGAAGAAGCGTCTATTGTGTAGCCTTGAAGAAGACCAATTATAATAGCTGGAAATCGGTCTGATAGCTGGAAAAATTTCGTCATTTTTGATTTACTAATTGGATTTGTAGTAGGATATTTGTAAGGAAGGTGGTAGTCAAGAGAAGCAATGATGCTCTAACTCTTGGGACGTTTTACAGTATTGTCGAATAATTGTTAATTATTAATTTGTATTTTGTTTTATTTTCTATTATCTTATTTATTGCTATTTTATTTTATTCATCCGTTTTTTATTTTTGTTATAATTAATTTACTAATTAATTTAGATTTTATTTCGTTTCGTATAGACGTCCTGTAGTATTTGCCGTTGTTTTTAGACTTTTTATCACGGAAACGGGAGCACGTATATTGATGTGGTTATAAATTAAACCAATTGATTGTCTCGGTTATGGAAAATTATGATTACTCTGTAATTCTACAATTTTATTTTCTATTAAATGAGTCGCTATAGCAATGTCTTTTGCTGAGTGTTACAAGAATAATTGACGATTAAGAGGGATTTATGCTATGTGAAAATACTTGAAGAGTTGAGCTTGCTCTACCAAATATCTGTATATATATATATATATATATATATGCTTTTGAAAACATGTACATATACATTTGTGTGCGTATATATATATATATATATGTATTTGTATATTTATATACACATCTGCATGCGTATTTGGCAAAATAGGACTTCTGCCTTTGGGAGGTCACATATTCAGCAACAAGACGTTTGAGAAAGGCTCTATAAGCGGCTACTATCAGGATATTGTAATTTAAAGAAGTAGGGAAAGCGCACCAAATTTCATACTCTGTCATTGTTGTTCGAAATTCTATAACAAACAAGGGTGTCATGAAAAAATAGTTCTCTCTGATGTGAACAGGATTTTACGAGATTATCTTCACCTTTAATAACCTTTTCATCTATCACTTTTCTTTATTAATTCTCCATATTCTATCCGGATCTGCGATGCACTAATTTTGAGAGCAATTTTGCTGAATTTGCTGACTTTTCTGTGGCTTGAGTAAATATCATTTGAAACCCGAATTCATAGTGTGAAATTTACTCTTCTGTTGTTTATTCACTACTTATCCATTTAATCTCTCAGCTAACGTTTGCTACATCTTACTGATCACTTCGTCATTATGAGCTCTTTGTCACTGGTGATTCGATGATTCATGTAAAGATTTTTAAAGTTCGTTTGGCTGGATTTACTGGTTGGGGTTTTAACATTGGGTAAAAAAAAAGGATACGAGGAAATTTTGTGGAGGAATTTCGTTTGAAAGTCTGGATCGAATTGGTTGACGCATGATGGCGCTGACAATTGGCTTTTTTGAGGCAATTTCCGTTGATGTAGACCAGCAGTAATGCCTGGCAAGTGATATACGATGCTTCTAATGACACGCATGACTAGGTACCAGTTGCAGTGATTTTTAAATTTGCTTTCGTTTTTTCTTCTTGCCTTCATTCTTTCTACTTATCTATTTTTGAGAGCTCAGAGAGATTTTTAAATTATTGATAAGCAGAATACGAGTAGAGTACACAGTGTAGAAATATTTCAAAAACCTTCGACGCCTTCGCCTTTCATAGTGCCGGACTGATGCGAGTTGTTTGTTCGGAGTTCTTCCTTCTTCCTGTGTTTTTATCAACCTCATGTTACCTTATCAGTGAAAGAATACTAGTGGAGTAATTTAGATCATCTTGTTTATTTGTGCTGGTTGATTCATTTTATTTGCACACAGCCTTCGTCTCAAGGGACCCTCCCAAGCTCCTATCGATCTCCGCGTTTTCATCTCCTTCAACAGGGTGGGCTTGCCTATTTGACTTGGGGATGAGTTGTCTTCGTAGATATTGGAACAAGGCTACGATTACAATTGCTGTTCGATGTCTCAGGAAGTGTTATACTTTATCACAGCTGACAAAAATGTTAAACTTCCTGCTTTTGATTCATTTCGTTGTTCTGTTACACTAACACTGGGGCCACTTGGAGTCAGCAAACAGACAGGTCAATGTTTTAATCTTCACTCTCGATAGTGGATTTCCCAGTGACGAAAAGATTTGTTGCATGTGACTTGGGAATCGAATTACCCACAATGTATACGAACGGCACTTTCGTGGCTCGTCAAGACTTCCTTCTTCGCAGTGGTACTTCAAGAGAGAGCAAGACTGGTACTGGCGACTCAGAAGACTTCTTTACAGCTACGTTTGAAAGCGCATAAATTGTTTTAGTGCATTTCAAAGTATAGTGTATGTAAAGTGAAGTTTATATAATATGCGGTAGTGTAGTTTGTGACTTCCACGATCTTGAAAAGGAAGCAAGTTCATGCATGTCTTTTGGGATAACTTCAACAATCTGGCGACATATACTGTTTTAGGTAATAATGAAACAAAAAAGCTTCATCTCTACACCGTTTATCCACGCAAGACTCTGGTTGGCATTAGTTTTGCAAGCTGAGGGATAAGTTAATCAGTGAAACGCAGTAATTTACGTACGCCATCGTTTTCGTGTTCTAATAGCTGGAGATTGGGATGGTAGTACTAAGCTTGGAAATGTTGAACGTTTCGAAGCGGTTGTAAACAAAAACGTGTACTTAGAATTGGCTTAAGTGGCTGTAAAAACAATTTTTAATGTGGTGTATCTTCATTAATTATATGAACACAGTGGTCTAAGGTATTTGAGCAGTGGCGTTCTGCGATAACCCGACTAGTGCATTTCCGGCTCTTCGTTTTCTTTCAGGCACTCGTACATGTTTGTCACTCATTTCATGGTTTCGTTTTCTTGAAACTAAGATCTGCCAGGTGACTTATGTAACTTGAGCCGTCAATTTCGTGAGAAACGAAAATTTGTCCCCATCTAAAGTTAGTGTAGAACTTTATTCTGTGGCCAGAGACGGGAATTCATTTAAAAAGAGATGAAAACGAGATCGAATTTCCGGAGTTCTGCTCAGATCCACTAATTGTTTTCATAAGAAGTTGTGGACCTATTACCTTAATTCATGTGTTTTTTTAAATGAAAATACTGATGTTTTCCGAAGTAGATAACCCAGGTATGTGTAATACTTAACTGAAGGCAATGTAGCGGTTTAACTTCTAAGACATCTCAATTTATGTCTAACTTTGCTATTTTTTATGCCTGAATACATAGTTACAAGTGGAACTATGGATATGTGTATATATTCGTGTCCACAAAACCCGTAGGATCATTAACTTGTTAAGGTACCTCAAAGTGAGCTCGATTTAGAGGCGGTGAAAAGCATCCTTTCTGAGTACAAAATTCATAATGCTGATATTACGCTTAGGTGAGTATGGCTCTAGTTTATAATTTTGGTCCTTGCTAGCATTATAAGTCTACCGTAATTACTTCTGTTAATACCTTCTTACTATGGTTTTTCTTTACCTAAAAACCAAATATCTGTTGTTTACCCCCATTTTGTTTATTAAATTTAGGTATGACGCAACATCGGAGGATCTGATCGATGTGATTGAAGGAAACCGGGTTTATATTCCTTGCATATACGTTTTGAACAAGGTACCATACAAGTTCTTTTTATTTTCTGATCCTTAACAGCTCGATGTCTATGTAGTTAGGCAATAACTTTGGAAAGTCATAGGTAGAAGTAATCTTCAATCAACTCATATATTTAATTCATTTATATATTTAATCAATTTAAAAACATCTACACCCACGCGTTATCACCATCTCGTTTGTGGCAAAAGTAGGCTTTTTGTATCGATTGTAATCAAGTAAGCTCTTAACTTGAAGCTATGCAATCTGTGACTCTGTTTTCAACACTACATATCCTGTTTTCTTTTTTTTGTAAATGCAATGATTTTCTGTAGTTTTGTCATAAATTATCTCAACATATATATTTCGAAATCTACTGAAAAGTGTTTATTGCATGTAAGTTAATTTTACCACTTTAACTTCTCATCATTGAATGTTCTTATTTATTCGAGTTGCATGAGTTTACTGTGGATCTTCAGATTGATCAAATATCGATCGAGGAGTTGGATATCATTTATCGTATTCCGCATTGTGTTCCGATATCGGCTCATCATAAGTGGAACTTTGACGATTTACTGGAGAAAATGTGGCAGTATTTGAATTTGATTCGAATGTAAGTTCATTTGACGTTCGGGCTGAGAATGTCTTTTCATTCTTATTCCTTGCATTTTTTCAAAACTTCACAATTTTATTTTTCTATGAGAAATTCACACACTACTATGCTGTTCTATAATGGCGAAGCTTAGAAGCAGGAAATGATCGATTAGTGAGTAGTGTTAGTTTTGTAAAACCTGTACGAGACACTTCATACACGGTCACAGCGAGTAGCCAGAATTCCTATACAAATAGTGTTTAGAATTCTAGCACCATCGCAGAACGGTTAGCTGAAAGTTTGCTAAATTATGGTTTTAGCATAGATTGTGGAGTTGTATAAAAGGGATGCCGCTATAGAGCACGGATCAGTGCGTGGGATGATATTGGAACACGGAATAATCGTAATAATTATTCATGGGTATACAATATTGGTCATATTGATTCATATCGGGGATTCCAGCATGATACTTGCTATAAGGTTAGAAACTTCTACTACAGTAAACCATTCTGTTGTATGTATCCTTTTGGAGCTTTTTTTGGGTTACTTGGGTTCATAGATGAATTCTCTCTCAGAAGGAAATGTTATTGCTTTTAGTACTTATGGAAAATTGTAAGAAAAAGGGCAAGGCAACCCATCGTATCTATTCATCCGTAGTCAAAGATATTTCATCTTTCAACTTTTCACCAACTCGGTTAATAGTGGGTTTTGTTCTTGGAAATGAAAAGCATTACGTTCTACAGACCTTTGCCAATAACGCACATATTTCATTGTTTCACAACGGTGAAGTTCTGATTTTTTGAAGATTCCTAAGTAACTTTTCCGTTTTTTAAATCCATGTTAATATTTCGAAAATTGAATAGGCGGAATTTTCGCCAGGCAGGACGCGATGAGCGCAGTCGCTCCACTTGAGAAGAAAGTTTTGAAAGTTTAAATTCTCCTTCATCTGGAATTTTGAGCCTAGAGCAGTTCTAGTTGTAAAATGGCGTTTTGTAAAGAAATTTTTAGTCTTGTTTGGCGGGAGATCAAAGTTCTTTTTTATGGGTCTGTCAACTTCTTAAGTCTTCATGTGTTTCAGTCGTTGAGAAATAGCGTCCGCAGCCGAAAATTATTCATCGTCCCTTGCGGCCAGGCAGCAAAACTTGCATGTTGGTTTGTTCCTTAGAGAGAAAAATAGAAGAATCTAGAGATAACATGCTGTCGTTTGAGGATCGACTCGGACGTTTTGTACGACTATCAGATTCAGTATGAGGCAAAAAAACGACGAATTTTCCACCTTGTGGTTTCAACCCATAACGTAAACTTGCCGTTTAGCGTGGTTCTCCGAATAGAGTACGAGTCTCATCGGCTGCGGCCTTTTTGATTTTTTTACAATGAGAAATTATTTTTCAATAACTGCAGTGCTTTAGCGGTTGAGAACAGGACGGAATTGTAGAAGAGACTTTTCTGTATTGTTCTGCGGGGATTATTGGTGTGTATGGTACTATTTACTGTGTGTTGCTATGGTACATTACGCAAATCCATTGCTATCGGGATTTGAATGTGTTTTGTGCTTGATAATGAGTCTGTTTCGATGTTTCTCATATCTGCACGTTCCATAAAATGAAAGTGACATGACAATGAAAGTGAAAGTGAAAGTGACACGAAATGAAGTAACAGCTATTTATTAGTCAAATTATCGGCCAATGAACTTTTCGGAAAAAAGTTTGTTGTAGATATTGAATTGTAGGGGATGGTTTTTCTGGTTTTATCCCTACTACTCTGATTTGCTTTCGATTAGTTATCGATTGAATGTAAATGATGCGGTAAGGGAAATCGTTGAAATTACTGAACTGAAAATGGATGCTATAGTGTCTATATCGAGCGATATAGGTTAAAGGATAAAGCGGGCAGCATTAATCAGACCTTCATGAACGAATGTGCTATGCGTTCGACAACGTTAAACGACGAGTGATTGGATGCATATTTGGCTTACATAATAATTCGGGGAGTTGATGTAACGATGCATCAAATCAATGTTCTTTTTTTTCTATTTTTGGACAAATCTCGTACCAAATTCCAAACCTCAGTGTGATGGAAATTGCTCGGCACGCGATCAAACCAATTTCCCCATATTTATTTCTTTAATGTGTTAACTCACGGGATCTTCCATTTGAATTAGCTTACTATTATTGTAAAAGAACGCTTAAAATGTAGAGATTTCGAAACTTGAGTATTATTAGCCCAGTACAGTGATATGGGATGGTTGTTCATTATCTGCTAATGAAAGTGGTTCCCTTCCGTAGCTTTCTTGTTGCATAGCAAGCAGGTTCCTATTTCCTTGAAGCAAACGCCAACAATTCTCCTTTGCTTATTTATTCCTTAACTACGGAAATATTTTTAACTTGACATGAGTACTGTATCATCTGTGCTTATAGTATGCCAAATAATTACAGCTATACCAAGCCAAAGGGGCAATTACCAGATTATTCGGCGCCGATAGTGTTGAACGCGGAGCGAAACACGGTTGACGACTTGTGCTTGAAGATTCACAAATCACTGCAAAAAGATTTCAAGAAGTATGGAAGCTTTCTGGATTTAGTGAAAATCTTATTATAACAATATGTTCTTGAACCTGTTGGTGATGTTTATTGCAATTCGTGATTAACACTGGTGGGAACGCAAAACGCAAAAGTGCCAAAGTTGTGTTCGAATATATTATTGATGAAGAGGGTTTCATATCTAAATTATTGTTAATACATCTCATTAAATATTCTTAAGGTTTTCCTTTTAACCTCATTAAATTTCGTTTTTAGTGCGTTGGTTTGGGGCGCGTCAGCGAAACATAACCCACAAAGGGTCGGTAAGGAGCACGTTCTGTTTGACGAAGACGTAGTACAAATTTTAAAGAGGTAACACTTTCTATTCCTTTCGACAAAAAAGAAAACGGTAACAGTAAAGGGTTTTTTGCGAGGAATCTGATATTCTCCGTATCTCTGTAGTAAAGAGAAATCACTCGATGGCTTTAGTTACTCGTTGCTTAACAGGTTTAAAAATTATCCAGAAGGCTATATGTTAGTATCCAAATGCTTCTAACTTTATTCCTTTGTTTATTATTATCGTTTCTATTGTCCGTGCAGTTTTTTTCATTTATTTCGCTTCTGTTACATAAGTAACACCTAGAGTCCCAAGCTGGTTTTTCTGCAGTTGCTGGTGAAAAATGGGAATATCATCCAGTTTAAGTCTACTATTTTAGGATTTAATATTGCAATCCACTTCTCGCCTTTCATGTCTGCTTTCACAGTGGCCGTCAAAGTTTCTCCAGGCTTAAATCATGTTTGAGTAAACACATGATATTTCATTATTATCCGGTTATTGTTGTTGCTCTAATTTTTGTTTATAATGAGTTATGATGTTTTGCTTCTACCTAAGACATTCAACTACTGGGTTACATAAGAACGAGTAGTGCAAATATGTGTATAAAGGAAATTCTAAAGAAAGCCGTGTAACAACACGTTTATAGTATGTTTTACAGAAGAGAAGGCTCATTGTCCTTTGATTCCATAAACCCAGTATATTTTAGTAGAAATAGCTTATTATTGCATAAAGAGGAATACATAAGGGCAGAATGGGCTGAATGGTTTTAATGGAAGGCTCGATCCTTTAGCATTCTCTTGTTTCCGGTCTAGGTGTTTGTAATTTGTTCAGTCGTATGTTAAATTCAATGCCCACAATCAGGCTCTATGTAAGCCGTAATTAGTTCAATTGTGCAGTGCAGACATGGTTGGATTAAACGTGAGATCGCAAATAATGGTGATGATGATGATCCTTCTTTCATGTCGGTTCTTCTGGAAACGAAGATTTAAAAAGAAAAAGTTGGACATAAAACAGAATTGAAGTTTATGCTGAACCGATATCATAAATTGGAAGAGCTCGTTTATGTAACCCTTTTTCTGCACTATACAGGTGTTGCTTAGAAGCGTAGAACGTCTAAAGAACGAAAACAAAGAAGAAACTTTGTCTTTATTCTTTCTTACTTCCTTCCTTTCTTTTTTCTTTTTTTTTGAGAGTAAAGTTATTCTTGAGCAGTATCAAAGGGGTTCATAAAATTTCACAGAGTGAAGCGTTTTACTACTGTTGACAATTTTTCAACAAATATTACAGTTTAGGTGTTGAAGACTTGGTGGATTTACAGAAGAGACTATAACCTGCCGCTCAAAATTCGGAGCATCAGTTGTGCTTCGAACCCACAATTACCCTTTCCGGGCACTCACGTGTTACCCAGTGGACCACCGACGTGCTTACCTTGCTCTCTTCTTTGCCAGTTTTTTTAAACCGTAACGGTGCTCTCAGCAATCACCCCTCGGTGGGAATGATCTGGAGAATATATGTCGGCACTGAATCCAGTTAAGCTGAAGCTGATGTTGAAATCGCAATCTCTACCTTTGTTTACTGCGTATTCTTTTTTCATGGAACGGTATTATGTGCAACGCAACGATAAGGATGCTGAAATATGAGCAAACTCGGAGCCTCAGGTGAGTTTCGAATCCGCAGCTACCCTTTCCAGGGGCTCACGTGCTTCCGTTACACCAACCGAGGCTTTTGATTTTTTTCGCGTCAACCAATTTGATTTCACATAATGTCTTGTCATGAAAAGAGAGCAGCTAGTAAATAAAGATTTAACATGCTTAGCTGAATGAAAAAATTTCCTGTCGGCCTCATGCAAGCTCAGCAATTTAAACACAAGTTGATTAGTTATATCGAAGTTAAAGGAATGTCGGTTTTTAAAATATTAGTATTTCCGTTTCTATATTCGTTAAAATTGGTTCAACTGGATGGATATAACAAAATGCGAGGAATATGTTCGATTAGAGTATCATAATAACGTAATGGAGAGCGAGTAGCGCAGTAGCAGTAATCCCATTCGTTACGCGAGCGGTCTAACGCGTTCTGGATCTGGTTCTACTCAGTTCCAGGCGTGTTGGCTTCTTGCGCTTCCACTGCCAGGGAATTGGTACCAGATTTATCTGGCATAAGCTGACTCCTGCAATCTAAGTGGGAATGCTGTTGCATGAAGAACAACTCAGGAGAAGAGAAGCTGGACCAGGATTCATCGGTATTTGTTAAGAAAATAGAAATTTTCAAGCAGCATCCGAAATCACGAGCAAAAAAAAATTCGAGGACAGTTGTGAATGGTAGATGCGAGAAGACGAATCGAATGAAAAAGTGCTGTGATCTGAGCAGTGATATATGTGATATCGGTACATCTAATAAAAATAAAATAATAACGCAGTAGCTTTTGTCCTTTTTAAAAATGGAAAGCAGTGGAAATGCCCTATAACAAGGCAACTCCGCTGTTCAAACGTCATACACGAGGAGGCTTCGGTCATGAGAAATGAATACCAAAGGTACGGTATTAGTATTATATTAGAATTAAACAATTATTATTATCGTATCATTGCTTGTGGCACAGTGATCAGAGGTGCCCTGCAATACACACATGAGTCCACGCGCCCGTAGTTCACCAAGACTTCCACCCTTCCGGGGTCAGCAAATTAGTACCAGACTTGTCTGGGAGGATAGCAGCACTGGCTCGATACATCGCCGAGCCACTGGGAGTCATTGTAAAGACCAAGTATGCGTTCAATCACCTCCAACAGTGCAAGTCGAATGCTTGGTGCATCCCTAAGGGATTGATCAATGCCGAGAGTTTTATGCTTTGTCCTTTTATCATTGTTTATTGAGTAATAGGCTTTGGTTCCTTTCTCTGTGCGAAGTTGTTTATGAGATTTTGGTTGATATTCGGATTAATGTGAGAGTTTGAGTGCGAATAAATTATTGAGTTTATCACTAATGCCTAGATGAGGTTTCTCAGATTCTAATGAGGAGGAATCCAATCAGCATGTCAACCAAAGTGAGAAGAAAAGTGAGTAAGGAAGATCAATCAAACATAGAGAAACAATACACAAAAATGATCTACTAGCATTTTTAAATCAGGAAACGAGACTAAAAACAAAATTAAAAAGATGCACAGACGAAAATAAAGCGAGTAACTTATGACAAAGGCTTGAGTAAGTTTTTAAGGTGTGTATGAGCGTGTTATGTTAGTTTAGACGATACAAACTACTGATATGCTTCTCTCTGGTCGCATTTACAATCACTTCAAACGATTTCCGCAATGTGATTACCGTCTCCTTCCGAACCTACCTTATCGTCTTAACCTTAGTAACCAATCGGCTTTACAACCATCTCAGCTAATAGAACGCGTTCGGTAACGGTAACGACAACCGATTCTATACTAGGCGATTTTCCAGCTGCACTGCATAACCGTAGAGATTTTTCCATTATTTACTGCCCGTTCTTTGTGTTTATTGTTTCACTTTTTTTTTCTTCAGTGCGGGAATACGCCTATGCACTGAACTTCACTCGTGGCACTGTAGGGGTATCTAATAATGCATATCTGGCTAGTATAATGACTTGCTATGGCCCACAGATGAATCAAGTCGGGCAAGTCTGGTAGCAATTTGCCGACTACGGAATAAAACTATGGACCACGTTAGTATTTCTTAGCGGTTCTAGCCATTGTGCCACATGCGCTTCTATTCTAAACGAGCCATAACTTTAATCATTTGCTCACCCTAATAATTTGAAACATAGTCAAGCGTGTTAGTGTGTCGTCAATCCTCTCATACTGGCTTGACATTTTTCTTCCCGTCTTTACTGTGTAGCGATGATTTTCGTTGGAGAAACAATTGAAAATATATCAATTACTAAAATAGTTACTCTGAGTTCCACCATGCATTTAGTCAGTTCTTGGAGGTGCGCTGCAATGCACACGAGGATGAGAGGGTTTGGTTCATTTAGGCGTCCCGTATTCACTAAGCATTCTATCTGTCCAGAATCGGAAAATTGGTCCCAAATTTGTCAGGGACAAGGAAAACATCCCCAATCTAGCTCAAATCGATGTGCATTGTAAGTTATTGTATATACTACATATGTATTCAATCTTTTCTACAACTAGAAACAAATGCATGGCACACTTCTGAGGGATTGGCTTTATCCCTTATGTGCCATCACATCTAATTAAGCAAACATATTTAATTAGGCGGATAACTGTAGAGTGGCATAAAATTTAGATAGTTTTGACTAAGATCGAAACCGGAACCCTATGGTCAGTGTTGACGTGATACGTGCTTGCAACTGTGATACATGCCGCCATGTGTGCCCCGTTTGTTTTGAAACGCTTATCGGGCAATGTCGAGGTTCGGACATCTATTGTTCGATATGTCGTAAACGAAAGGTATAGTGTGACCTTCTCCTTGCAAGACAATCTGGTCGACGTCTTGGTGAGGCAAACGGTGGTACAGAAGTGGAGCGTACTACAGGGTGTAATAGGAGGTCGAGCAAATATTAGCTGACTCTATGACGGATTGGAAGTAACGGAATGAATGACAAACCGGCGATCCATGCCAACCACTGTATACCATCATTATCGTTCCTCACACTCAACATTTTATCCTCTCAAATACACGTTTCCTCAAAAGTCCTCTGTAGCATCCGTTTCGTAGGAGTTTTTTGCCTCTTTGGGAACTCCTACAGTGCTCGTTTCGTGGAATTTTTCAACCATCATTAGGTTTCTTTATTTACGACTTCTTTCATCACTCGAACCACTATTAGGAAACAATAAGAGAAGCAATTGCCTTGAAAGGGAGAGCTGGAAGTAAAATGGGCATCTCCTCTACGCTTCATCTTTTGTTCTACTTTTCCACTTCTTTTCTCCTTTAAGCTTATGACAGCACTTGAACATAGTTCTGTTTTTGTGGACGTTTCCTATGAAGCATTTTAGCCGCAACAAAATTTTTCAGATTTTCAAAGTTTTTCTTGTAATCGATCAGTCATTGTTAATGCTTTCGTTG